GGCAAGAAGGCAGAGGGGAGTCCGGCCTGCTAGAGGTGGTCCCAGCCGGTCCTAGGGACGCAAGCCCACAGCCCTTAGAGGGGCCGCTCTTCAGTAAGGGTTGAGTTGGACCTGCAGGGAAGCTTGGCCGCTGGCCCAGAGAGGACCTCTCCCACCCAGGCTGCCGCCCCCAGGGCAGAAACTTGGGTCACCCCACCCCCACCACCCCAGAGGCTGCTCTGGTCTCCCCTCCCGGATGCTGGCCTCTGCACTCAGAGCCAGCAGACCTGCCCTGTGACACCCTCCTCCACCTTCTTCTTCTTCAAAGTTTTTCACTAATTTCTTCCATGAGAGAGAAAGAGGCAAAGCGAGAAAGAGGCCTCAGCAGGGTCTTTGCACCGAGAGCACCCCAGGTCAGCCAGCCCCAGGGCACAGGCACACGGGTGTGCCCAGCCCCTCAGGGAAGTCCCGGGAAGTGAACCTAGACCTGCCCGTGTGGGTTCAGTTGCATTATCACTACACCACTCCCTGGCCTCCCCTTCACCTCCTCGTGGGCAGGAATAACGTGGAAGGCAGCTGGGAAAAGTCCCAGGCCTCAGAAGGCCAGGGTTCTAGCTCCGGCTGTGTTTGAATGAGTCAGCTAGGCTGGTGCCCAGCCTGGCACACCACGCCCAGGACCATCCTGCCCCGCCCAAGTCCACCTCTCTGACCCCCGTTCCTGAGTTCTGTGCCCCTGCAGTCACCACACCCACCAGCCCTGGCAGGACTTCCCTGGAAGCACACGTCCCCACCAGCCGTTCCAGGCAGCCCCACTCTCAGGACTGGGGAGGACCCCATGCACTCCAGTGCCCCACAGCACTCCCAGTGCCCAGTGATCTCGGGCATGCAGGGAGGAGGCCCTGTTGTTTCTGAGCATAGCCGGCAGACGGCTGGATGCACTGAGGCCGGGGAGGAGCTTCCAGAGCCAGCAACCCCGGGGGTGGGGACCCCACTCAGCTCTTGCATGTAGCTCCTGCCGAATTTTCCACCTGGCTCTTCCTCGGCATCCGCAAAGGGTCTTTCCCTCTGTAGACCAAGGCCCTTGGCCTGCTGTTCCCAGGTCAGCCCCAGTCTGTCCCGTCTGTCATCCATGGGCATATGAAGCAGGTAGGTCCCCCTGGGTCTGGGGGCACAGTTCTGTTGATAATCTGAGAGTTCGAGATAGGCTGAGTGATGAGGTCCCACCTGGCTCACAAGCTCAGCTGACCCCAGGAGACCTCACTGGGAACAAAGAGATGGGCCACTGGGTGGAATGGCTCCTCCCCAGACTGTGGCAGTGGCCCGGAGGCCTTCCCGGACACCTCTGGGGCAGGGAGGGTGCTTGGAGCCCATGTGGCGACACCCTGACACCAGCGCCGAGCCCAGGGCCCCCGGGCACTGCAGCGGGCCCTCATCGCACTAACCCGGGTGACAACAGCTCCTTCCGCCCAGCTCCGCAATGGTGTCCCGCAAGGCCGTGGCTGCCCTGCTGGTGGTGCATGCACTCGCCATGCTGGCCTCCCAGACGGAAGCCTTCGTCCCCATCTTCACCTACAGCGAGCTCCAGAAGATGCAGGTGAGAACCCCCGCATACACACCTCGCCAGTGCGGCCGAGGCGGCTGACCGCCCAACTCACCCGCGGGGTGGTGGTAGTCTCTCTGGAGCCCCACACGTCCCTTGGGTAGATCTGTGCTTAGTGACCCAGTGACCCCTGGGGAAGTTTGGAGAACCGGGATCCAAGACTCTCCAAGCCCCAGCCGGCTCTTCGGCCACCTCCACTCCCCCACCAGCGTGACTCAGACATGCCGGAGGCTCCCGTGGAGGACGCCTTTTGAGGAAATTTTCAATTAACAAGCCAATAAATATTTCCTGAGCTTCTCTGCAGTCAAGGGGCCTCCCTGAGTGATGGGCCAGAGCGTGCGAGGATGTCTCAGCACCTCCCCCTGTCTTCGAGGAGCAGGTTAGGGAGCCGAGACAGAAACATGAAAAATTAACTAACAATCGCAGACAAAGGAGAGACGTGGCAAGGCAGGACATGAGTAAGTGCCCCGTAAGCGGTGCCGATGGTAAGTGCTCGGCTTCGGGAGAGGGAGAAGTCACCACGCATTGGCGTCTGCAGGGAAAAGACCAAACTGGGGGCCTTGTGAGATGAGGACTGGGGCGTGGATGGGAGCCAACGCCCCGGAGGTGGGAAGGTGGCACTCCCTGCAGTGGAGGTGAAAGCCTCCTCTTCCTTAGAGCCCAGAGGGAAGCAAGGCTGGCCCAGGCGAGGCTGGTGGGGCCTACGGGCCTCTACTTTAGACTTGGCAGTGCACATGGCAGTGCAGACATTTGGTTCCTCTAAGCCAAGGAGAGGGGGGAAAGGGACCCCAGGCCTCGCCCTGTCTGAGTCCGAGGCTCTAATAGGCTCACATACATGCGTCTGCCCTCTCAGTTGCCCGGGGCCCTGGGCACCGCCTGCCCGTGTTAGCACTCTGCATAACACAGTTCTCACACTCCCAGTAAACAGGGTCCTCAGCACAGGCGTGCCCCGACACAGCTCCCTTCGTCAGGGACAGGGACTGACATGGGACTGGGGAGGCGCTGCACCCCACACCCCTTCCTCCCTCTCCTAGGCCGGTTTCCTCTCCCGAGGAGGGGACCAGTCGTCCCAGAGTCACATCTCAGGGCGGGCTGGCAGCAGGATCCCACGAGAGTCATTAGGGAAACGGAAGGAACGGGGTGTGTGGGCTCAGTGCTTGGGACCTGGCGAGGAGCATGCCGGGCAAGATTCGGGGCTGGACGGAGACGGTCAAACTCAGCCCAACAGAAACTAGCAAAATGGCAACCAGAGGACACGTTGCATGAGTCTGCCCCGTGGATTTTCTCCTCGTAATTACCAGGCACCAGGATTTTTACAAAGACGCTGCAGACGCCTTCCTCCATAATTCATCTCCCTGTCTCGCCTCTTATAAATCACCTCCCAGGGACTCCAAGTTCTGGGGCCACCCCATGGTGCCCTCGCAGGCTAGGCTGTCTTGATACCTTTTTTATAGGCTCTCTGCTAAGAGAGACACATTCGCACACTTAATATGCATGAAGGATGACCGTGATTTTCAGCTTTTGAACTTAATTAACAGTAACAATCTGGGTGCAATGTTTTAACCACAAAGGAGCAGATTCCTCCTCAAGTTGACCTACCAGTGGACAATTCCAAGGGTCGTTCTCTTTTCTTTTTTTTTTAGTTTTTGCTCTAGGGCACACGTACTCATCAGAGAGAGAGACAGAGAAAAGGAAAGTGAGAAATCATCTTCCAGGGAGAGGGCCACACTGCAATCCCTACATGCACCCAGTGGAATTTTCAAGCTTCCAGATCCAGGACTTGAACTGCTAAGCTGGCCATATGGGATCCAGCTCCTTTACCTCCACGCCATGTGCTGGCTGTTCAAGGGCTTTTTTTTTTTTTTTTCTGGTAGAGCTTTTGACCTTAGGGTGAGTGTGCTTGCCAGAGAAAGAGAGACAGAGATAGTTAGAGGGAAAATGAGAAATCACCCCCCAGGAGTGATGGCTACACCACAATCCCTTCTCCATTCTCCCAGGATCTTAGGCATGCATGCACACATGCATGCACTTGGTATGAATTTCAAGCCACCAGGTCAGGGACTCGAACCACGGTCAGCCATGTGGGAGTCCAGTGACATAACTGCTATGCCATCTGCCAGCCCCTCAAGGGCTAATTTTTTTTTTTGAGAGGTTTTTGCTATAGAGTGTGTGCACTTGCCAGGACAGAGAGAGATGGAGAGACAGAAAGCGAGAAATCACCCCCCAGGGGGGATGGCCACGCTGCAATCCCTTCTCCCCCATTGTCCTCTCGGGATCTTGGGCATGCACGCACACATGCCTGGTGTGAGTCTAACCCACCGGGTCCGGGACGTGAACCGTGGTTGACTACGTGGGAGTCCAGCAACATAGTCATTACACCAACTGCTGGTCCCATCAAGGGCTATTTTTAAGCCACTGGGTGTCCTAGACTCCTCACAGGTGGCACCCGGGGTAAGAAGGGATTCGGAGGGGGCTCGGGCCAGTGAGCACCCCAGACTGATGGCGCAGGCGAGGAGGCCATTCGGAAAGGGAAGTTCTGTGCGACCGTGTGCTCTGGTTCTAGGAGCGAGAACGGAACAAAGGGCAGAAGAAATCCCTGAGCGTCCGGCAGAGGTCTGAGGAGACGGGTCCTCTAGACCCAGCGGAGCTCATGGAAGAAGGAGACGTGATCAAGGTGAGCGGACCGTGAGGGCAAAGGAGAGCGACCCGGCGGGGGGCGGCTCCCTGAGGCTGGCCAGGAGGCAGAGCCCACCGAGCAGACAGCCGGGGAACGCCCCGGGGCACAGCTGTGAGCGAGGCTTCGGGCACCCAGCGCCCTCCTAGGAGGGATGGCAGTCATTTTAGGCCCCAAATAAGAGAGGACGGCAGAGCACGACCGAGTGGGGCTCGGGACACTATTTTGTCCAGGAGAGCGGTCAGGGAGGGCCTTTTGGAAGAAGTGGCATTTAATCTGAAACACAAATGAAGAGAAGGAGCCACCATGCGAAGAGCTGGAGTCTCCCAGAAGAGGGCACAGTGAGGGCGAAGACCCTGCTCGGGGGCACTAGGTGGGCCCAGGCCCCAGTGGGGCCATGCTGAGAGAGGGCACAAGGTCTCAGGGCCAGCTCAGGCAGGGCCCGCACACCAGAGGACGTGTCTGGGTAGCCTTGGGGCTCAGAGAAGGGGAATCACCTTATTTAACTTGGAAAACTCTGGGCCTCTGGAGTGCAGGCAGGAGACTGTCCCCAGGAGAGAAATGATGGGAGTGACCATTCCTCTTCTCAGAAACAAGAACCCAGCTGACAGCTCCAGGCGGCCATGTCCAGGGTCTGGGGTCGTCAGCACCCAGTTAAGACGCACAGGTTGTCAGGGCCAGAGAAAGCCTTGCGATTTCCCGGTCCAGCCTTTAAATCTCAGTTCGTTTACTTGGGCGATGAGTAAATGAGCACCTACTGTGTGCAAAGCCCGGCAGTAGTGTAGTGAACGACACGACTAAACCACACTCTCATGGGGCTCACACTCCAGTCGGGGGAGCAGAACCCAGATGTGGAAACAGACCACCAGGCGAGTGAACGCTGTCCTACAGCAGGTGAAGGAAAATAAAACAGGGTGCAGTGACGCGGGGGTGGTTTAAAAAAATTTTTTTTTGGAGAGGTTTTTGCTATAGGGCTCGCGCGCTCGGCAGAAAGACAGAGACAGAAAGCGAGAAATCACCCGCCAGGGGGGATGGCCACGCCGCAATCCCTTCTCCTCCATTGTCCTCCTGGGATCTTGGGCACGCACGCACACGCACCCAGCGTGAGTTTAAGCTACCAGGTCCGGAACTCGAACCGCGGTCAACTACATGGGAGTCCAGTGACATAGCCATTATGCTAACCGCTGGTCCCAGGGGTGGTTTTAAATAAGGTAAGCAAAGCAGGCTTTATGGGTAGATGGTATTAACACAAGGACCCACCGAGAGCACGGGAAGATTCCGGGCAAAAAGAAGAGCCAGTGCCAAGGCCCTGAGGCGGGAAGGAGCCTGGTGCATTCGGGAACAGAGAGGAGACTGGAGAGGCCGGGCCAGAGGGAACCACCGGAGAGAGAAGGAGTGAGGCCGGGACGTCACAGGCCGTCGTGAAGTCTGCTGAGGGAGCTCTTGAGCCCAGGGAGACAGGATCTGACTTGAGCTCGAGCTCAGGCTGTCACCACGCCCAGCTGCATCCACCCTGCCCTCCTTGGGTTCACGTGTCCTGCAGCTGCAGGGGGAGCTCACGGGAAAGGGCCTCCCCACTCACCTGGGTCCTCTGCAGGCAGAGTCCCGGGTCTCTGGGATGTGATCTGTCCAATGCGGCGTCCTTCTCAGGGAGGCTGGGGTGCACTGCCTCGCCTCGCTTTCCACCTCCCTAGAACAGGGCTGGAGGTCCTTTGGGGGTTACCCAGCCCAGCCTCCTCGGTTTAAAGGGAGGAAACTGAGGCCTCGAGAGATACAAGCCCAGCGAGTGGATGGTTAGCCAGGGCTCGCAGGGACGCCCTCAGGCGCCTGAGCCCCGGGGGGGGGGGGGGGAGGGGTCCCTCACTCTGGGAGCTAGGAGGCTGGGGAAGAGCTGGGGCTCCTCCAAATGACCCTCTGGAGAGGCAGCACGGCGGAGCCCGCGGCCGTCTCTGCAGACAGACCTTTGACCCAGGAAGGTCAGCCAGCCCTCTGCACTCTGTCCCAAGGCCACAACCACCTCTCTGGGCACAGAGCCTCCAGGCACCTCCTGCAGGGGCTCACTCTGTCCGCACAGTCCAGGAGAGAGGGTGGCCTGGTGGTCCTGTGCGTAGTCCTGGAGCCAGGCCCCTGGTCCTAACATCCTCCTCTGCTACTCACTACCCGGCTGGGCGTGAGTTACTCCCTCTCCTTTTCCTCTGCTTCCTCATCTGCCAAACGGAAAGGCAGTACTGCATCTTAGGGTTACTGAGAGGCCTAACGTACACAGAGGCTGCAGAATGACAGCTGGTACGTGGTCAGGCCCGTGATGTGGCTATTATCACCGAGCAGAGGGGCAGACAGGTGCGGCTTCCTGCCAACCCCACCCCTCCTGCCCCAGCTTCCTCATCAGGGGAAGTGTGTTGATCCTCCCAGCAGGACCCAGTGATTTCCAAGATCCAGCCCCCTGGTTAGAACTGGCGGGGGAGGTGCCAATTCCCACCAACCCTAGGGGCTCAGACAGGAAGACTGGGGTCCTCCTACCACCTGTAGGGCACCCAGGGGTTAACAGCCTCTCCACACCTCTCCCTTCTTGTTAACTCTGCCTTATTTCACAGCTGACTGCTCCTGTGGAAATTGGAATGAGGATGAACTCCAGGCAACTGGAAAAGTACCGGGCCGCCCTGGAAGGGCTGCTGAGCGGATGGTGGCCGTCCACCCCCAACGGTATGGGCGCTGATATTCCAGGAGCGCGTCTGAGCAGGGTCTGGGGATGGCCATCTGTCCTGCTTCATCCCAGAGAACGCGAGCTTTCTGTCCGGACGCACACGCTCTCCAAGGGGAGCCCGAGCACAGAGCAGGCAGGCTCTGCCAGTAGCCGTGGAGCCCAGGGAAGGGCACCCGGGCCCGGTTCCCAGACACCCTTGGGCAGACAGCCTTAACAAATCAACTGCCCCAACCTGTCCCCTGGTCCAGCCATTTCATTCCCTTCCCAAACACCATTGAGGCTGGGCGGCTGTGCTGAGAAGCCCTGGGTGCAGTCTGGGCGTGTGTTCGTTAGTTTTTCTGGTTTTGGGATTTTTTTTTTCCCTCTTTTTTGTTTCTCCATCGGTGCTGCAAATTGAAGTCCTGAGCCCCATTTGGCCTTTCCAGTTCTAGGTCTGCCTGAGTTCCTTGTGCAAAGCTAGATCTTGTCTGACAAACAGCCACTAATTACTTCTCATAGTCCCCAGGAGGAGAAGAGGGAGACCTGGAAGAAGTGTTGTTAGAGATGGAGAAACAGAGGTTAAATGACTTGCCCCCGGGCTACAGCGATCTTCCGGGCACCTTACAAAACCTCCCACCTCCCAGGCACAGCCTGCCCTGGACACTTGCACCCCCACTGCCGCCTCCCACCCCAATCCGAGGTCAGGTCTTAGCAGGCAGTTTCATAAGCAGACCTGCTGAGGCGGCTGAGCTGCAAACCCCTGCTTCTCCCCAGCAGACGAGTGACAGCCCTGCTCCGGGATAAGGAAGACAGAGCTGCGAGCCCCCCTCCTGCCTAGCAGGGCTCCACAAGTCTGCATGGCCCACCCGCTGGGCTGGGAAGGAAGACACCCTCTCCAGTGTAAATCCCCCTCCAGCAAATAAAACATGACATACACAGAAACGACTCTTTTATTTAATATTTTAATTTCCAAAGGGTAAACTCAGGTCAGGAGGAAAGCTCAGAGGGAGCTGGCCATAAAAGGTGCCCATGTTACTGAAATGAGTGTCTTTTATAAGTTTCAGGTTTGAATACTAACTCGGATCGGGCTGTAGATTGGAGCCGGCCCTTCCATTACAAGTGAGGGAACTGAGGCCCCCAAAATACCTGGATGGTGTGTTTTGTCCACTCACTGAGCCAGCGGCAAGATGAGGGCAGGAGTTCAGTTCTCTTCTATGGGGTCTGTTTTCTGTTTACTCTAACGGGCCAGAGGATTTTAAGGTCTCTGCACTCGACCCCTTGCTGAGTAACTTGCAAGCAGCCCTTTAACCTCAATGAGCCTTGGCAAAGGCAGGGCAGTAATATCTGCCTTGAGACCCGGACGGCGGCACCAGCAAATTACATTATTATTACCACCTTGTGACGACGCGCCCCAGCATCTGCAGCAAAATTACACAGCCAACCCACTTATTTCTGCCTTCTAAACAAAACTGGAGGGGAGATTTCATCCTAATTTAATTTTACGTTCATGAACATTCATTTATTTATAAACCAGGGCCATCTATGAACCCCAGGCCCGCTCCTCCATAGGTTACCAGCAATCGGCACAGTGCCATTTCTTATCTCCACCCACCCTGACCACCGGGAGGGCTTAGCCACCCAAAGTGGTTACCAGCACAAGGAGACCCCAACCCTGAACAAGGACCGTCATCTGGGGTGCTCTGAATTCTCGGGAAGAACATGCAGAGCTCCCACGGGGCCCAGTCCCTGCCGAGTTGCAAGTTCACACTTCCAGGGCACGTACTGATCGGCCCAGAGCAGCTGCAGGTTTCCAGAAATGCTGCCAAGACGTCGGTAATACATGGCGAGAGCGCGGCTGCAGAAGGGCTGGCGGGAGAAAGAGGAGGGAGAGACACAGGGACCTGTAACGCACATCGCCGGGCCGGGAGGGACCGCAGCCAAGACTCCTCCCGCCCCCCGCCCCGAGTTCCACCATGCCAGCTCACCCCATTATCTGTAACACAGTCCAAGAAGCAGAAAAACAAGATGTTCAGAGTCTCTTTCCACGTGAAAAACACAGATTTTGGGGGTCATTCCCTCACCCTCTCCTCAAAGCTGCCCCTATAGTGAGACCACCTTCCTGATTATCAGGCGCACGTAGGGGGCTGCCCATTCCTGGGCAGGGGTGGGGTGGGAGGATCATCTGGAAATTCTTTCCTCAGATCCTAGGGGTCAGAAAACAATGGAGGAGGAAAATAAGAACCCAAGGCGATTTTGCTTCAGGGGGTCTCCTTTTTTTGGGGGGGGGAGAGGTTTTGCTACAGGGTGTGTGCATTCACCAGAAAGACAGAGAGAGACAGAGAGATAGAAAGTGATAAATTACCCTCCAGGGGGATGGCCACACCGCAGTCCTTTCTCCTCCATTCTCCTCTCGGGATCTTGGGCACACACGTACGCACACGTGCCCAGGGTGAGTTTAAGCCACCGGGTCCGGGACTCGAACTGTTGTCAGCTACATGGGAGTCCAGCAATGTAGCCATTACACCAGCTGCTGGTCCCAAGGTCCTTTTTTAAAAAATGGGAATTAGTTCTGCAACCACAGCTTCTGGAAAAGGTACCACATTGTATGGTGTCCAGTCTGCAAAAAAGCCCTGCTCAGGGCCTAGCAGGTGGTGGAGTGGTTAAGGCGCTGGACTCCCACATGGTTCGAGTCCTTGGCACTTGTGCACACATGCCCAGAATCCCTAGAGTAGAATGGAGGAAAAGGGGAGTGATTTTTCTCTTCCCTCCTCTGTATCTCTCTCTCTCTCTCTCTCCAGCAAGCGCACACGCCCTATAGCAAAAACCTAAAAACAAAACAAAAACAAAAACACTCGTTGAAAGCTCAGGCGGCAGCCGGGTTGTCCCCGACCCGACCCTCGTGTGTGGCTCTGATGTGCCTCTCAGTAATGAGCCACAGCAGGGACCAGCGAGCACCTACATCTGCATGCACAGTGCCCCGGCCGCCGCTTTGGATGTGTCGGCTCCTTTCTTATCAGTTTCCCAACTGCTGCCGCTGTTCGATTTCTCGCAATCAGCTCAAATAATTCTTTTTTGTCAGCAAGCTCCTCCAGTTTCCAGGACAGCAGACTGGATTGCTTATGGGACATGCACAGCCCTGGAAGAAATTAAAATTGGGGGGAGGTTCTGGAGGATTCTGCAAGCTGAGGTGAAAGAAAAAGATCATGTTTTCACAAAACAGAAGAGGCACAGTCCTAGCTAAAGCCATGGAGTGAGTGAGCTACTGTAGAAACCAGCCAGGATCAGAGACAGGGAGGGCCCCCCCCTCCCCCAGTAACCAGAAGGGCAAAGATACCGTTCCTCCTTGCATCTCGCTGAGTTTTATCCAGCCAACTGCACGGATCTCTCCAGATACCCGGCAGTTACAAAGAAGTCCGGATGATTCCATCTTGGTTGGGATCGTACTTTACACTTAACAGGACCACAGGCAATTACAGGGCAGCGTGAACCCGGCTCACAAGACGGAGATGATGAGGTCCCTCCTCGTAACCACATCGGTGTGATTTTATAATTACTGAGCGATGTGGATTCGCCATGAAATTGAATAGTTAAAAGCAAGGAGTAATTGTCTGCTATCTGTACTCTGTAATTTGGTATAATCTAATCATGGACAAAGCCCAAAAGAAAACGTTCTGGAAGCATTACAGCTTTCTTCGTGCACGACGTGTTATTGACATTGGGTACGGCAGTCCGCGCGTCTGAAGCTGCTCCTGTCCAGACACTGAAGTGTGAGAGACACTGAAAGAGGAAGAATTTTGCTGAATTTTTTTTTTGAGAGGTTTTTGTTATAGGGCGCATGTGCTCACCAGAAAGACAGAGAGAGACAGAGAGACAGAAAGCGAGAAATCACCCCCCACGGGGGATGGCCATGCCACAATCCCTTCTCCTCCATTCTCCTCTTGGGATCTTGGGCACGCACGCACATGTGCCCAGCTTGAGCTTAAGCCACCGGGTCTGGGACTCGAACCACTGTCAACTACATGGGAGTCCAGTGACACAGCCATTACACTAACTGCTGGTCCCAAATTTTGCTGAATTTTCAACAGATTATGAAAAGCAGGGGGCATACCTGCCTAGGAAACCCTTTGGGCCATTTACCTGTGTCTCTCTTTGTCGCTTTTGTTGACATACCCCCAAACCTCGAGAAAGCTGTCAAGGGGACTTCATCTTCTCTGGGCACCGAGATGAGGCAGCAAGAAGTAGGATGCTCTTGGGATTATTCCAGTTGAAATCTGACCCAAAACGACACCCACTTTTCAGCCACCCTCTCCCAGAGCCCCACACCCTGCAGTGTGCTGCCACGCACCACCACGTGGTTTGAGGGGAGCCTGGAATAGCTGAGAGGGATGTAAGAAGCCCGAAACGGGGTGGCTCGAGGACAGGTCCACGGTCCCCGAGCATCTCTGAGGACCTGATAGATGTGCGCGGGGCTTTTTGCAGGAGGAGAAGGAGAATGGAAGCCACTAAAAGATTTATGGTGGTTATTATTCTAAGGCTCTGCTGAGACAGAGAGAGGTCAGCGGGACGGAAGGCCGCATGGCGGCCCTCCGGGAATCCAGAGCACGCTCCGAGCAGCCCCTTGCCTTGCTAAATGTGTGGATGTGGTTACTAAGTAGATTTAGTCACTGGAGCTGGTTTTTCCTCTTCTGCCTTTAATAAATCAGGAAGACCGACCGCAGGCGGAGCTGCTCACCTTAAAAAAACCCACAACAAAGTGATGAGGAAGGAGGGCCTGCAGGGCAGCTGTTGACTTTGGATCTTACCCTTTCCTGCAAAATATGCCTTCCCCCCAGATAGGCTCAGCAGGACAGTCACTTTGAAGATGCAGAAAGGCCAACTTCGAGAAGCCCCTGGAGGGCCTCGGAGCAGCTCCCAGCAAGCGGCAGCAGTGGTCATCAAGATGCACGGAGGCCAGGCCCTTCTGAGGGCAAGTGGGTCTCCTGGACGAAGTAAGAAGTAACAAACCAGCTTCCTGAAATTGGGTCAAAAGGCCTGGGGGAGATGAGCAGTGTTGATGGAAGCCCTGGGAGGGGGTATAAATCCAGGGAAGGGGCAGGGCTGGAGGAAACGGAAAGGTCTGAGACCCAGGAGGGAGAGGTGAGGGACTGACCGAGGAGGAAGGAGCAGGGGAGGGGAGAACCACTGGGCACGTAAGCTGTGAGCCCCTGGGTCCTGAGCGCCTGCTGATCACTGCACTTAAGGCCTGTTTTTGTGGTTTGTTTTTGTTTTTAATTTGCTATAGGGAGTATGTGCTGGGGGAGACAGAGCACACGAGAGAAGAAGAGAGAAAGCACCCTGCAGAGGGGATGGCCACCTCACAATCCCTCCTCCATTCTCCTCTTGGGAGTTCAGGCACTTGCCCCTGCTGTGTTCTTTTCAAGCTGCTGAGTCTGGGACTCGAACCCCACAGTCGCTCATATGAGATCCAGCCACTTTAACCACCAGGCCACCGGCTGGCCTCACCCAACATCTATTAGATTCAGCCAGAAGAGACCTTTGAAGGCAGCACCTGCTGTGGGCTCATGGGTGGCTAAAGGTCCCTGAGTGGTTTCAGGCTTGAGGGAAAACAAGGAGGTTGGGGAGAGGGTCGTGGGTCATCCGGCCCTGGGCGTGGGGAGCAGCTGCAGCAGTGTCCCTGAGCACAGGATGCTGGCAGAGCCCGCTCTGCATGCCGCTGGGGCTGACTTGGGTTCAGTCCATATTTTTAAATCGCCCTGAGATCCATTGTGATGAAACAGACCGTAACTCTGTGAAACGCTGGGATGTTAACTTTGTTTAAGTATCAGTTGCAAGCCCTCTTAGAACACACAGGGCCAGTATTGATGCCGAAAGGCTCACTCTTTATATATCGAACTGCACAGCTGCAAGGAGTTGCACAAATGTTACCAACTCATTTGTCATGCAAACAGTGCTTCAGAAAGAAATAAAATACTATTATGTGGTCTATGTGTTAGGCAATCACTATATCAAATTCATGGCATTCCGTGCAAACACAGGCAGAGAAAAGGAAAACAACACTTGGTGAGAGAAATCGCACCACATGGGAGCGGCTAAGTTGGGGAGATGGGGAGGCCAAGTACGCAAGCCTGACCAAGCCAGGCTGTACTTTTACCGAGCGAGTGGCAGGCATGCAGAACCCTGACAGGAGCCGTACCCAGGTCCCAGGGAGGGACAGCCGGAGGGGGCCAGGCGGGATTGCTGGGTAAAGCTGTCAGAGATCCCAGGGAGGAGGGTGCTGGGGGAAGGGGAGGGGCAGAAACTACTGGAATCTACTAGGCTGGCAAGACAGCTTGGGAAACGCAGTTGATGGAGATGTGGAAGGAGGGGAAAGGGAAGGGGGGAGGAAGACCACGAACTACAGCTCTATTTCCATTTGCCACCATTTCCCTTGCCTGCCTTCGAGGGGTTCCTGCCAAGAGCCTTCAATGTGAGCACGTCACCCGCCTGTGCAGGGCTGCGCATTTGCGCGGTGCTGCGAACACGCGGGATCGGTGCGCAGTATGTGTGTGCCAGGCACTGTCCTAAGCCCCGCACACAAATTGCCTCTTCTAATCTTCACAGCAACCCTATGAGGCTTTCTGGCAAACAGGCCAGAAATGTTAATTGGATACGATCACACATCTGATAGTTGTGGAGCTGGAATCTGAAATCAAACTGCCTGGCTCCAGAGCCCACAGTCTACACGTGATGATGACAAGAGGACTGTGGGACTGGGGGTCTTCCGCTACCCATCCATTCTATGGCAACCCACTAACCAGCCACGCGGTCTTCCTGGGAAGCCCCAAGTGCCCACCCGAGCCCCCGGTCATTGAGCTCTTCTGCCTCCACCTCGGCCGCCGCGTCCCCGACTAGTCCTGGGCCCCTTGAGGACCAGTGTCTGTCCTAGGGCAGGGCCCGCACCCACCTGCTGCTCCATGTCGGCGACCCTCAGCACACCTAACTCGGGGCAGGGTCTACTCCATGACCCAAATAAAACTGATCACACATGTCGCTCCCCAAGTACAGAGAGGGCGAGAGACAGCGTCTCTCTACGCTCGCAAGTGGCTTGTCTTTGACCGTTTACCAATTCATCCATTAAATCGACGCGACTTTACAGAATGCCTACCACGTGCCAGGGAGGATACAGAAGTCAACACCGCGCGGTCTAACAAACGGAGAGGGGGCGGGGCTGAGAAGAAGGGGAAAATAAATAAATAAATAAATAGAATCTCCGCGACCTCCTCAATATGGCGGACCAGAAGGCCGAGCC